CCTACAACATTAAGGAATCCTACAATACACTCATGACCACACATGAGGAGACATCCCAAAGCTATGGACAAATTGGATTGACCAAGGTGTGAATGCAAAGCAAGTGGTCAAGAACACACTAGAATCTTTGAAGCTCTCGATCTAGGAGAAGGTGAAGATCACCTCCTAGCTAGTGGCCAACAATGGCCTACCAATAGAAAGTCGATTCCAAAAGGACACTAGCCGATGGCATCAAATCCTCAAGGCAATCAAGGAGTTGGGAGTCATAGAGAACCTAAAGGTCTACAAAAGGGATGTTCTCCACTAGTTTGAAGGTGCGAGAGGTCCAATGGCAGAAGCAGCCTAGAGACGCATCTAGTGTCAAGGACTCCAAGACTGGGGTACCCGAGTGCATTGGGACCTAGAAGGGGTGGAACAAAGCACCTTAGTCTAGGAGAGTCTAGGACATGGTTGTTAGGATATGGAGGGCAATAAGTGTTCAAGCAATCTGGGAGGATTGTAATTGCCTCCACTTCGATGGACACTCAATGAGAGTATCAGCTGTAGTAGCAAACTAGTGGTGGCTCTCCTTAGTGGCAGTGCAGCTTCACTATGTCATCCTAAGAGACAAGGAGCAGCCAATGGGAGTAGCTCATTGGTGCAACACCAAACTTCCATGCTTTGGCATGGAGAGTAGTGGAGTAATTCACTGGAAGTGAGACCACTAAATTGGATCTTGAAATCTGCTTGAGCAAAGGATATTGTCCTAGATACAACATGCCGATGGAAACCATGGCCTCCATGCTACAAGGGTAGATGTGGGGCAAGTCACATGAGAGTTACATTAGATACTAAGCTCAAGCATATATGTTTAATTGAAACTCACTTGAAATTAACAATGTAGACTAAGGTCATGGAGTCTAGAGTATTTGATAGATTCTTTCAAGTATAAAGATATTAGATAAAGCTTATATAATTCAGAGTCATGTAAGTTCCTTAAAGAATGCTACGGCAAAAGCATCCATGACGCTCTCTTCACTAGCACAAATGGTGTTGAATAATTAGATAGTATTATTGTTGTGACATGTAGGTTTGTTTTTTCTTACTATAAAACCTATCTTGTTCTTGATGAGCGGCTTCTAATGATTTCATTCTATTCAGTTGGGAGCTTTTTAATCTCCTAAATAGTGTTGCCTGGTTCTTTGATCATCCAATTTTACCCAAAGTGGATAGTCTCAACAGCAGTGAAGCAAGTTTATTAAAAGCATCGCAAGGTGATCAAGAACCTGATCCATAGTGCAAATTATGCCCACTTTACAGCAACATATATCTTAACTATAAAAAGTTTCTTTTAACTCGAGTCTAGAAAATTTGTGTGAGATATTTACTTTGTTTGAATGGCACTAAGCCTTATTGCAACATGTTATATCAAATGCACTTGTAAGATTCTCCTAATGAATTATTAGGTAAGTTAAATTTTTTTCCTCAACATTTTCTTGTTGCAAAAAATTTAGATAGAAAAAGCTTTTTGATGCCTTTTTAAATTAATTGTCAAAGTCTATTTTTTGTTTTTCTTAAGAAAACCTATAGGAATAGTGAATAGACCTAGAATATGCTTAGATATTCTATGATATTCTACCATCTAGCGGTTGTTATTCATTTATATTAATCTTGTATTTATAATTTATCAACATCTCCATAATTTATAAACTTTCCTAAACAGTTCCTAGTATATTCTAGTTTATTCTACCATATAATGATTGATATTCAAAAATATTATTCTTGTGCTTCTAAATTATAAACATGTTTATAATTTAAACTTTCAATTGATCAATTGGATTAATAAATAGGAATAATACTACCATTAAGCAAATCAAGTGTTGGTACATACAATGCCCAGTAAATTATTATTAAAACAACTCATTAGAATTTTTTTTAAGATAGAGTAACTATATTATCATCTTGTGGCTTTATTCTCCATCATGGATCCTTTTAAGGTATAAATAATTTCTTCTCTTTAAAAAAAGAAAAATAAATTTTCTTTTTTTAGATTGAGAATTCAAGCTTTAAAAAGAGATGGAGATGAAGAAGGAGGTAGTCAAGTCGAGAAAGAAGAAGGAAAAAATTGTGATAATTATTTTCAATTTGAAGCTATAAGCAATATAATCATATTCATTGTCACTTTAGTGCATAAAACTTTTGAATCCCAATATAGTGCTCTATAGGGTCAGAGAAGGGTGGAGAGAGGGGAGTTACTTTCAAGACTATTGTTCAAAGAAATATATAATAAAAACATCAAGTAGAATTTGTCACATCCTAAAACTTTTATTACAAAAGCACAAATAAGAAAAACTTTCAAGCCTGCTAATTTTTATAATATTGTCGTCAAATTTATAATCACGAGCAATGCATGAAAGAAAAATGCTAAAGAACAAAATAAATTGTAATATTAAAGGTCTTCTTTACTCCTTCATTAATAAAAACTGAAAAGGTGGGAAGTATTGTATGTTTGTTTACACTTCAAACTAAAAAAATGAGTTTTAAAGATTTATGAGAAAGATTATGTATATAGAGTGTTAGTGCTCTATTGTATGAAGATTTGGGTATATTTTTTATTTGAAATAAACAATATAGAGATTTATGAGTGATCTGTAGCAAGTTGATCAGATCATGGAATCTTGATGTTGAACTACTTTGGAGACCTTAATATTTGATGGATTGTTTCAAGTGTAGAAATATTGAAAATTTTTGTGTGATTCATAGTCATGCAAATTCCTCCAAAAATGCTATAGCAAAGGCATCCATAATGCTCTCTTTGTTGGTGGATGATTCAAGAAATAGGACATAGGAAATTAAGAAGCTTTTGACTAAATAAAATGAAATTGTTATAAGTTGCTCGTTAAAACAAAATAGGCTTTCTAGTAAATAAATAAATAAAAATATACATGTCACAATAACCACTTAGTGATTCAACAATATTTACTGTTGATGAAGAGCGTTTGGTTCTGGGTCACCACCATGGAGAAGAGCAACGTGCCAAACCACATCTCACGAACAACTTTGTTTCCTCGACTTGAGCCTGAGAGCAAAGGGTCCATGGCTTTTCACCCCTGGTTTGCGACCACTTTCTCGAGCAAAAGCCGCATGGGAGGAACCTGTTCCATGACAGAAACGTAAAGTCCGCTACAGTGAGATCAAAGAACTTTGTCAGTGCTGGGAATCGCCATACTCCACTTTGAAAGCTATCACTTTCACAAGAGTGGTACCTGTAAGTCAGTGTCCTATACAGCAAAGTTAGGACGGATACAACCATGAGTACAATTCCAAATCCCCAGGACCAGCAGACGTTGTCTTGGATGTAAACCAGGACCGTGACTGCAACGAGATGAATTCCCCAGAAGCACCAGTTGAAGAACGAGGCCTTCTTCTTTATCTCAGAGGAATCGTGCTCATCTGACAGTCTCTTCCTCGATAAAGTTTACTTTGCAAACCAGCTTCTCGCAATAAAACCTGCTTTAATCAGTCCCTCTACCTAGAAGTGTGTGAAGATTGAAGAAAGGTGGCACTTTTCTCCCGGCAAAGACGAACAATAGCTTGGACGTCCCTTGATTCCTTCCTTCCCTTGATTTTCTCCAGTGTGATCCCGCTCAACTCTATCCTCTATAACAGTTAACTTTCCTGACAATGTTTGATACCATCTAGTGTACCGAAGGCAGCAGTGGCCGCTGTAAGCTTTCCTCTAGAGTCCACTTTTAAACGTATTGGGAATACCGAGAACCTATGCGTTTCTTGTACGCTTTGAAATCGAGGGCCTCTTCATGAACTGAAGCAGATTGCAACTCCATCCCTGCAAACAGCAAGCTTCATGATCAAATAAAGCATTTGATATTTTTTTCTCGCACCTTCCAAAGTTCGTTGTCAGCAAGCCGTCTTGAGAATTCGGGCTTTTGTAGTCAGCACTTTTCCAGTAAAGCTTTCTTCTAATTACCATCATTTCCCAAGTTGAACATGAGCTAGGAGGAAGTGAAGGCAATTTAGCATCTTAGTCGTTGACATCCTGCTTCCCTGTTCAACTTTAGCACTACCTCCGGGCTTTCATCTATTCCTGGTTTCGAACGTGATTTCCAGACGCTTCTGAATTTCCGCACTTATCTGCAAAACATTCCGTTACACAATCGATGCCAGTCTAGTTCGGTGGACCTGTGTAATTAGCAGTCTCGTGTAATAGCTCGAGTGTCTCCTTGTTCAACGATCTGTCAGTGCGATGAAAAACAAAGGTAAGGTTCTACTATCGAGATCAGCTATGGCATTGGTAAGAGCCGAATCAAGGGAATTGACAACTTCTGTTATCTGCGTCAGGGCCATCAAGGTACAGGGACAATCTGTAATTGAATCTATCCGATATGCATGGGAGGGCCGCCATGGGATAGACTGTCAAGCTAGTTTGCACTGTTCAGAGATCATACCAATTGTAACCTGTCCCAAAACAGAAGTTATGCTATTAACTTCTTCTGCTGCCTTTGAGTGCAAAAATGAAGATCGCGTGCAAACAAGTGCGCGAGAACTTACATGACAGCTAATGTCGGTTATTAGAAAGAGTTCAAGGGAATCGTGAGCAGCCAGCCATTGCTGTGGATGATCTTGGTTCAAAACGTACAGCAGCAATTGAGAGAGGAATTCCTTCAGTAGCGCCTCATCCGACGGCCACAACTATGATTTCTCTCAAGTTGCGTGAAAAGGTTAGGTCGCAGACATGGACGCTTGGCCGAACAATTGGGACAAGAGACAGGAATCAGATATGCTAGTTTCCTCGTATTTCCAGGCTTTGTATGCTCCTCACGCCATGACGTATGTGACAAGACAAGACTGTTCCCGTCTAGCTTTAGATTGGTGGACCATCAAATGCCGTGCTAGTAAATACAACACGAGGTTCTAATGCCGATGCTTCTCTCACGGATGCGCAAAAGGCAGCGCACCGGCAGATGAGTAGCGATGGACCGCAGTCAATGCAAGCTGATGACTACTGAATATGAATCTTTGATTTAGATTAACGAATGTTTATTCTTAAACCCTAGAGGAAGGTGGCAACAACACTTCATTGTCTTTGTACTTGAACCAGATCGCCAGTGGCACGAAAACTCCAATGTTGGCAACGTTGAGCGCTGCGAGCAGCCAGTAGAAGAAGTTTAGATGCCCCTGGTTGAGGTTGTGCTGGATCCAAGGATGCGAGGGACCTGTGACGCGGTTGACAACCGTGATGAGAATGCTGCTCAAGAAGCTCCCGCCCGCGAGGGTGGTCAGCTGGAGCGCGGCCCCCAAGCTACGCATCGCTGCCGGAGCTTGATCGTAGAAAAACTCGATCTGGCCGCTGTAAGTGAACACCTCCGCCAGTCCCAGGAGAATGTACTGCGGTAGAAGCCAGAAGATCGTCATTGGCAGCGGCTTGCTGTGTGGAAACACCCTCGCGACTTTGAGCCTCTTCGTCTCGACCAGACCCCCCGCCAGCATCGAGGCCACCGTGATGAACATCCCGATTCCCATCCGCTGGAGCATGGTGATGCCTCTCGGGTGCCCCGTGATCTTCCGGACCGAAGGGACGAAGAGGCGATCGTAGAGCGGCATGGAGAAGAGGACAGTCAGGTTTGTGAAGAGCAGCATCGAGGCTGGCGGGATCTTAAACTTGCCGTGGATGCTGTTCTCCAGGGTGCTCCCTTGCTTGACGAAGAGCGTTGGGTTCTGGGCCACCGCCGTGGAGAAGAGCAGCGTGCCAAACCACATTGGTAGAATCCTCACGAACACCTTTGTTTCCTCGACTTGAGCCTGGGAGCAAAGGTCCCATGGCTTTTTGGCATCGCCTGGCTTGCGACCACTTTCTCGAGCAAAAGCCGCCCGGTCGAGGAACCTGTTCCATGATAAACAAAGACAGAAACGTCAAGTCCGCTACAGTAAGATCGAAGAACTTTAGCTTACGATATCGGCTTTGTTGCTTTGTCAGTGGGAATCGCCATATGCCACTTCGAGATTGCCGAGGCTATCACTTTCACTATAGTTGTGAGGGGACTACCGTGCGGCTTCTGATACCTGTAATTCGGTGTCCCATACAGCAAAGTTAGGACAGATATGACCATGAGTACCGTCGGAATTCCAAATCCCCAGGACCACCCGACGTTGTCTTGGATGTAAACCAGGACCGTGACTGCAACGAGCTGGCCGGCGTGAATTCCCCAGAACCACCAGTTGAAGAACGAGGCCTTCTTCTTTATCTCGGAGGAATCTTTCTCATCAAACTGGTCCGCTCCAAACGACGAAACGCACGGCTTCATGCAACCCGAGCCAACCGCAACCAGATAGAGGGCAACGAAGAAGAATGCGCGCTGCTGCTTGGAGGCTGGATTGCAGGTTTCATTCCGAGACGCTGGTTGGCAAGGTAATGGGCGAAGGGACTTTAGCGAGGAAGAGACCGTGAGTAGAATCAGGCCCTGCGGAAAAAAAGTACATAAGCAATCGTCTGAAGAACGCAGAGAAAGTGAAACAAATCTGCTTACCAAAATGTATACTGCAGCCATGGTGAGAATAGTCCGATAGCGCCCCCAGAATGCGTCTGCTAGAAATGCTCCCAACAAAGTCACCATGTAGATGGTCCCAACCCAGTTGTTGATGTTGGTAGCCGCTTCAGCCGTGTTTTCGTGAAGAACACTAGTCATGTAAGTCACCAGGTTCGCCAGGATTGCAAAGAAGGCTATCCTGTCGAATATTTCATTGGCTGCAAGAAAAAATCAAGTAAGCTAAGTGAAGATTTCAAAGGTATTGGGAATACCGAGAACGTAGCAACACCCCTTCCATCCACCGGTGCTTTTCTTGTCGGCAAGTCGTCCCTTGAAATCGAGGGCCTCGTCGTGAGAAGCAGATTGCAATTCCATCCCTGCAAACAGCAAGCTACATGATTCAAATGAAACATTTCATAGTTTTAAGTCTCACCTCCTCCAAAGTTTGTTACCAACAGCTTCGAGTGGAAATTCGGTGTGCATGTCTACGGGCTTTTGTAGTCAGCACTTTTCCAGTAAAGGAGGTTGTCCAGTCGTTTTTGAAGTCCTTCTCTTCGTTTCTGTCTTCAATCTTGCGTACGGGGCAGATAACTCATCGAAGGGTCGAAATCTGTGGCGGATAACGATATATTCCAGGTTCCTTGATCTTTTTTAAAGTTTGTGGCGTCCTGCTAGGCAGTGTGAGCTTTTGTTTAAATCTTCTGATTCCCCCGCATCATTTTCCAAGTTGAAGAGGAGGTGGGCGGAAGTGGAGGAATCTAACTCATGCACCTCTACCACAGAGTCCCTCTCTTACTTCATCTGATGAAGTTATCTTACCAACACCCTCGTCGTCGTCATCTTGGAACCTGTTTTCAAAGCGCGTCCCATGTTTACTTTTAGCACTAGCACGGGAACCACATTCTATTTTTTCATCTTTTGTGACTGTACCCACTGGTAAAGACAATGATGGTGGATTTCGCGTTGTGGCCTGAAAGCAAACATGTGTCTTCGTTAGAAAACTCCCACATGATTGTCATCCATACCTCCAACATGCGCGCTTCTAAATCTCCGCAATTATCCGCAGAAACATTCTTAAAGGTCGTACTTACCATGAAGCATCATGTTCCGAACTTGCCTGGACGTGTTACACCCTCGATTAATGCCAGTCTGAGTGCCAGTATGCTTTGGCAGCCACACCTGTTGCATTCGCGATGCGTGAGCATCATTTTACAGAAAAGAAATGTTTGAAAATGAAACTAATAAGGACCTGTGTTTGCAGCGATCTCCTGCAATAGCTAGAGCATGTCTGTGCACTGGTTGTCTCCTTATTCAACGACCTGACAGTGCAATGAAAAACAATGGTAAGTTTCCACTATCGAAGTCCAACCATTACCTGGTCAGAGCCGAATCCAACGAATTGACAACATCTGTTGTTGTCTGCGTCGAGAACTCACATGAAAGTGGCTTACTAAGTATGCTCAGCAACTGTCGAAATGCTGGTTGTTACAAAGAGACGACAAACACCAAAAGAAAGGACCCAAACCTTGGAAATATTCAGGACAGAAAAAGGAGCCTCGTTTTCCAGCGCCAAAATGTGGACCAGCTGAGACATCTTGCGAACAGCATTCGTCACGGCTTCAAGATATAACGACGGGCCAGCGATGAACCTGTGACCACCCGCGCGTCAGCACAAAAGAGTAGACGATACTAAAGAACCTTGACGAACTCCATGCAAAGACAGACACAAAATGAGCTTGCAGATGCATTTGACTAGCGAGTTGACGACGAACCTAGCTATAGCATCCACTTCTCTGCAGAATCAAGCACCGGTAAAAGAGATTACTGGTTTAACGCTTCCCCGCTAGAAAATGCATAAAGCTTTCCCTCGACATGCACGAGTCCTATGTCAGGATCTCCGTGAAGAAGGAGGCCTCTGTGCTTGGCTAATGCAACCGGACAATAGCCAGAAAGCTGCAAGGCTCCCCCACCTTGCAATGCATTCTCCACATCCTCGTCTCTCAAAACACCACATCTTAAATCTTGTTGTGTGCCCGCTTTGCTTAAGCTTTGCATGCAAGAAACAAAAAATCAGTTTCAAACAAAGCCAACCACACAGGACTTACATCACGTCGTTCTCGTGCCAGTCGACTGTGTAGACTTCGGGAGGCAGAAAAGTGGTGTAGTTCACGAGGGTGTTCAGTCTTGACAAACCCGTCGAAGAGCATATGTTTGCTATGCCAGATGGCGTGGGCGTGAAGAGAGGCTGAGAAGCTAGTGAAAGTAACGGAATGGAGGCCCTGGCATACGCTCGAAGAACTCTTAGCTCCTCACCAACAGACTTGACTATTGTTCCTACAGCTTGGAATTGGGGGTACACCTGCGATGAATACTTCATAAGTTAGGACATGAAGGAGAAGAAAAATACAGACCAGTTCATTCGCGACACAGCTCCTGCATTCGATGGTTTCATACAAGTTTCTGAGGTGCTCGCAACACTTGTCATCATACTCCCTGACGATACCAAATCTCTCCGTGAGAACATTTTGGAGGCCTTCCAGCAGCGCAAATGCTTGCAAGTAATAAGCAAGCTCGTCCCGTAGTCTCTGAAGCAAGACGTGACGCATTCCAAGTGGCTCGAGGTGCAGTCTGATTGCCTCCGCACACCTCTGAGCTTTCTCGTTGGTCTTTTGCAGACAATCCATCACCGTTTCACCCAAACTCTTCATCTCATCCTTGTAGTGTCCAAACGGAAGCTCAAATCCTTGACCACCTCTGCCCAGCGACCTTCACACGAGTTCCCAGTTTGAGCTTTGGAGCCAAGGAAACTATCCACCATGCAACGTACTTGTTGAACACACGAATGCCTGTTACCGCGGCAGCCATCTCTTCAACTTGTGTTGCTTTCTCGGCCTTTGGATGATCAATCCAAGAGATGCACGTCGCCTGTGGAAAGATACTCTCGAGAGCCGCTCGAATCTCGGTTATACTGGCGACTGTCATCTTCTCCTCGACTTCCTTGCTAAAGTGAAGGACGTATCTCAGCACCCGCGAATGTAAATCCTCCACGATCTGGAATGTTCTTTGCAAGTCGTTTATCTGAATGGACGTCCAAATTGAGAAACTTGTTGGCAACGCTATGAATACGTTGGACCTGAACTTCCGCGACGCATTTCGCCATGTCCTTGAGCACTGCCTTCCTCTGGTCAGCATCCATTTTCGATCCCTTCAACTCCAGATCCATGGCGGCTTGTGCAGAAATCTGATCGCTACAGAAAAGGTATTTCAAAACCAAGGACATAATTGCTTCGAATGTACCTGAAGTCTAATTGTCTCTTGAGCAGGACAATCCTCTCGTAAAAGCCTCTGAACACAGCCGTCAAGAAAATCTTTTGAAGAGTCTTCCGCAACTCCAGGGCTGCAAACGCAGACAGAGATCATGTAAAACTGGTAAAACTGGTAGCACAGAAAAACTTTTAAGTTACCTGGACATCTCTGGATTAAGCAAAGAGCCCGCTCGAAGTTGAAAATAAGCCATAGCGTCGAAGAAAGGCGGCACTTCTTTTGCCAGTCTCACACTTTTCTCCCGACAAAGACGAACAATAGCTTGGACGTCGCTTGATTCCTTCCTGTATCTTTCTTCCTCTCCAGCGTGACCCCGCTCATCTCTAGCCTCTATAACTTTCCTGACAATATTGGATACCATGTAGTGTACCAAAGGCGCTGTGGCTGCTGCAAGCTCCTCGTCGCACCCCTCTAGAGCCAACTTATCGAAACTAGAAGTAAGAACCTCATGTTCCAAGTGATCGTGATCGTGATTAGCATCTTCGTTTCCTGCCACCACTTCCTCAAAAACTTTCGAAACCATGCTATGAACTTCACCGCCAGCCTCTACTGCTCGCAAGATCTCCGCCAAATCCCTTCTATCGCCCTCCATCTCTCCCAAAATTCTGGATCCCATCACTTGGACCTCACTGGCAGCCACTATCCTCTCCAAAATCCCCGACAACATGGAATGAACCAATCCCTCCATGGCCGATTTCTGCGGCCCATTCGCAACAAAGAAATGCACGGCACCAGTATCGACATCCACCGCGACGCTGTCGCTATGCGCAACGCGCTGGAACACCGCCGCGATCATGGCGCGCACGGCCTCCTCCCCATCAAACACACCTCGATCCGCAAGGCGCTCGTAAACCCTAGAATCGCCAGCGGCCGCCACATCCCCGGCAGCCCTCATGACTCCCTGGATCACCCACGCTATCATCTGCCGCACTGCCTCCTGCTGCTCGCGATCCATCGCGCTCTCGCGAACCCTAAACCCTAGCCCCAGAAGGCGCGAAGCCATAAAAGGCGCCAATTTTAAAATTTAAAATTTTAAAGTTGAAGAGCCCTAATTCTTTCTAATGGAGGATGTCCAAAGCCAAGCTCTAGCGATTCCTGCGAGAGAGAAGAAACGAGTGAGAGTGAATGCCGCGCCCTACGCAGAAGCGCTCCAGCGATTTGGCAACGAGAAATCTCTCCTGCAAGGGAAGAGGTTCCACGCCTTGATCGCCCAACGCCACCACGACCGAGACACTTACATCGGCAATCTCCTCGTCCAAATGTATGGCAAGTGCGGCAGCATGGAAGACGCGGAGCTCGCATTCCACCGCATCGCCAAGCCCAACATCTTCTCCTTCAACCTCTTGATCGCCGCGTACCTCCAAAACGATTGCAGCGCCAGAGCTCTCGCCACTTTCGATCGGATGATCTCCTCCAGCAGCGTCGCCCCGGACGCTTACACTTTCTCCAACGCGGTCACCGCCTGCTCCAAGCTGGAAAATCTGTCCAGAGGTGAGGAACTCCACGAGAGAATCGCCTGCTCAAACCTGGAGAACACCACTGTCGTAGAGAATTCGCTCCTGGGTATGTACTCACGGTGCGGGAGCATCGATCGGGCTCGCCAACTTTTCGATCAGATGCGCTGCAAAGATCTCGTGTCCTGGAACACGATGCTCGCGGGATATGCCCAGAACGGGCATAGCAGCCAGGCTCTCGCGCTGTACAGCAAGATGTTAGAACAAGGCATCCAAGCTGACGATTTCACTTACTCGAGCGTTCTAAGCGCCTGCTCCAAGTGCGGTTCCTCGGATCTCCGCAGCCAAGCTACCGGGCTGCTCGAAAAATCCATGGCCTCCGCCAGTGTCGTTGTGAAAAATGCGGCTGTCCAGTTGCTTGGCAGATGCGAGGGCCTCTCCAGCGCGAGGAAAAAGTTCGAGGCGATGGGGGCCGAGCGGAATGACGTCTCCTGGAACTCGATGATCGCTGCGTTTGCTGAGCACGGAGATCTGGACCAGGCGATGGAGCTTTATCGCGAGATGGAGCTCGAAGGTGTCCAACCGAGTGAGGTGACCTTCATGAGCATCTTGCGAGCTTGCAGCCACTCTGGAGAGCTGGAGCAGGCCATCCGGAGCTTTGGCTGCATGCAGCACGACCATTGCCGGCTATTCCCTTTGCAGCAACAGTACCGCTGCGTTGTGGACGTTCTTGGACGAGCCGGATGGCTGGACCAGGCTGAGTATCTCATTTGCGGCACCGAGGAGCTCGAGCGGGATCCGGTTGCATGGCTGACACTTCTTGGAGCCTGCAGTGTCCATCGCGATGTAGATCGAGGAATTCAAGTCGCCAACAGGGTGGTGGAGCTGGATTCCAAGGGAGCTGCTGCTATTCCAGCTCTTGTGTTGCTGTCCAATATCTTTGCTGCTGCTGGAAGATGGGATGACGTTGCAAGCCTGAGAAGAGTCATTGATCAGAAAACTGGAAGACAAGAAAGAATCAAAAGAACTTGTTTACCTCGAGCCAAGTTCGCGTGACATCGTCCTGGATGCAAAAGGGAGAAGAAAAACGGACATGCCTGCCTTCTCAAGATGAAGACTTCAAATTCCTCTCCCTGTAGAGGTGAGACAGCAGCACATACGTTGCACTGGCCTGCGGCGAGGCTTTCAAAAGCTTCTCACCAAAGATCTCGGCTCGACCAAAATCTCCATGCAGCTTACAGTTCGTAAGCAGCAGCTTCCAAGCCGTTCCATCGGCATCAAACGGCATACTCTCGAGCAGCTCCTGAGCCTGGGAAGTATGTCCTGCTCGGCCCAAAAGATCAGCTACACAGACGAAATGCTCCATGGTTGGAACCATACCGAAGTCACCTTGAAGTGAAAGGTACTCCTCGAGTCCATCCTTGTACAGCCCTGCGTGGCCACATAAGCAGAGAACGCATATGTAGAGTATGTCGTCGGGCTCCACGCCTTCCATAACCATCCTGTGGAAAACCATCAAGCCCGCCTTTCCCTGTCCATTGTAGCCATAAGCTGCGACCATCGCCGTCCAAGCCATCACCTCTTTGTCCTCGAGTTTCTCAAACAGCTCCAAAGCAACTCCCAGCAGTCCACACTTCCCATACATGTTGATCAGCGCCGTCGCAACTTTAGCATTTGAATCCAAGCCGTGACTGATCGCTCTGGCGTGGAGACGCTTTCCTTGTTCCAGAATCGTGGAGTTTGCGCACACGTCGAGAACCACGAGAAAGGATATACAGTCTGGCTTGACATCCATTCTCCAAAACAGCTCCAGCGCTTCTCTGTCCTGTCCCTTGTGTGCGTATGCGGAGATGATCACATTCCAAGAGATCACGTCCTTTCTCGGCATGCTGTCGAACAACTCCCGAGCTTCGTGCAGTTCTCCGTTGATAGCGTAGCCAAGCACCATAGCTGTTCTCGACACCATGTCATGCTCGGGCATTCTGTCGAAAAGTGCCTTTGAATCCTTGGTATAGCCGTGTTGGGCATACGCTTCGAGCATGGTGGTGCAGGTTACTAAGTCGAGACTGGGCATTCTCTGAAACAGACCCTGTGCCTCGACAAGCTTCCCCTTCTTTGCATAAGCTCCGATCATAGCAGCCCACGAGATTCCATTCCTCTCCGGTATTCCATCGAACAAACTCCTTGCTTCTCTGCAATGATCCTTCTCTTGTGTCATCCCTGTTGAGTTATCTCGAAGTAGACTTCTTTCCGACCAGGAGAAAAGCCTGCTTTTCGAAAGTATATCACCACCTTCGAAAGGATTCTTGCTTTGCTGCGGCCCCCCGTCTTGAGCATACGCTGTGATCATTCCGTTCCAGGACTGGACATTCCACTGCGGCATCCTCTCGAAAACAGTCTTGGCTCTAACCAGGCTTCCGTTCTGCGCGCACGCAGTAAACATTGCGTTCCAGCACGCAGCGTCCCTCGAAGGCATTCTGTCGAACATTCCTTTCGCCACCTGAGGCTGCCAGCTCTGGGCATATGCCGTAAACATGCTCGTCCACGAAATGAAGTCCCACTCGGGCATCTTCTCAAACATCCGGCTGGCTTCCTGGAGCAGCCCACCCTTCGCATACCACCCAAACAGCGAAGTCCAAGTCACTGCATTCTTTTGCGGAGCTCCCTCAAACGCAAGCCGTGCCTCTCGCAGAAACCCATTCGTGGCATAAGCCTTGATCAGCAGATTCCACGAGAAAACGTTGGGCTCCTTGATGCCATCGAACACAGCCCTGGCGGCCTCCCAGTTTCCACAGCTCCCGTACATATCCACGAGCAAATTCCCGAGGAAAGTGTGTCCCTTGTATCCGGATCTGTCGATATGGTCGTGGACCCGTTTGCCTTGAAGGATCGACTTGGTCTGAGCGCATTGCCGCAGTAGAGAGGCGTAAGTGTCAATCGTAGCGGAGTCTCTGCCTAGAACAGCATCCAGATCCTGGAAAACATCACGGTAAGCAAGAGGAAGATTTCTTACTGCTCTAACAGCAAAACCAGCATGCATTAGCTAGTAATACATCCTCCAAGGCAGGGGCTTTAAGGTTCAGGGTTTCTGGCGATGGCTACCTTGAGTTTAGCAGAACTTGCGAGCGCCCTGCCACGGTGCAGCAAGAGGAGCCACCATCTTCTGCTACAAGTCTCTGGAAAGAACAATGCGAGGATAAATGCGTTAGGAGGTAGTGCTAGTAGCAGTGTAGTAGTGCACAGGAAGAGATACCGAATGCAGGTGGGTGTTGGAGACGATGATCTTTACAGTGTGGAGGATGTTATAGATGATCAAATCGAGTCTACTCTGGACATGCTGGACGAGGGAGCTGACAAGACTGCCGAGGAGCTACTGCTTGGATTTGGCTTACCTCCTCCTGCTTCTGCCGCTGCTCCCGTTGAAGCAGGCCCTGAAGCAGCGGATGGAGCAACTGAGGACAGGCTAGAGAGCGTTGTCGCGGCGGGAACGGTTGTGGAGTACAAGATCAACGAGGACGAGTTTCACAAAATCAGCCTCCACGAGTGTGATTTCTTCATTCGAAAGGTACCCGATCCTGACGACAACGTGTATGATTTCAGAGAAGTAAGTTTAAAGCTGGTGTTCGCTACCTTCGTTGGCTGAATGGATCTTTCAGATGTATGTCACGCCTCCGGATACTGACGTTTATTCAATCCCCAAGGTTATCGGGAAAATGCCGAAGCAGGTTCGTGAACCATGGTCTCTCGCTCACTGCGTGTCACAAACGTTACGTTTCTTTAAGCAGAATACGAGGTGCAACCTGGGAAAATGGAATGAAATAGTTCTTGTTCGAAGCAACGACAGAAACAATCCACGAGAGGCGATGGGCAGAAACGAGTTTCACGCTCTCAAAGTAAGCTCTGATGTTACCCCGTCCGAACTAACGTCTCCGTTTGTTTCTCAAGGAAGGTTTTCCTTATAAAGCACTATAGAAACCGGAGGATGGAGGCCCCAAACTTCGTCCTCAACTTTGAAAAGGTGTTTGTGCTGGACGGAGCGACGAAATCTATTAGAAAAGCCAAAGTCAAGGTACCGAACACAAGTTAAGTCCGGAATGAGCTACTTACCTGGTCTACAGATCGAAGTTCCTGGCGGTAAGGATCGAGATAGAAGCAAAGAGATTCTCACCATCAGAGACGGAGGAAAGACATTTACCATTATTCCACAGGTACGTAAGTTTTGTAGTGACCTGACCAAACAACTCGCACAAATCTTTCCTGCCAGGAAAAACGGAAATCACCCGACGAAGTTATCGCGGAATTCGAATGGAAGAGATCCCGGGAAGAGTTTGAAAAGTATCTGAGAACTTTCCGGGACTTTGAAACGTCAAACTGGTTTTGATATAACAGAGAGAGCTAGAAAACCAGCCTTAATCATGCATAGAATGCATAAGAAAACATTATACCCGAAAGAAAATGGAGAACACAACGAAAATGACAGACGAGGAAGAAAAACTACCTGTAGAGTTATTTTCTCGATTTCGTCTTTTTATTGACGGTGCCTTCCATCCTCCTCCCTGTGCAAAGATCAACGCAGTAGAGCTCCTCGGGCTGGCGGTTCTTTCCAAAGTTGACACTTTCGATGCTCTTTGACACGAGAACGTTCCGATTCTTCCCAAGCTCCACATTTTCGCTCATGTCGAAGTCGTACTCCGCGAGTCTCTTGCAGCCCGGATCAGTGACGTAACGGGGAGCAATTTCGGAACTCGAGCTGAAAAACTCCATGCACACCGATCTCTGATCCTCTGATCCGGGAAAAATTGCGAGTTACACTTTGAAACCGACAATTACCGTGGTTTTGAACTTGTAAAAGTTAAAACAGGACTTCCCAAGCGTTTACCTGCAAAATCACGTTGTTTTGAGGAAGGGAGCCCGTCTCTTTCTTGTAGAAGTCTCTCTTGTTCTCCTCTTGATCAATCTCCGATCGTCTCTGAAAATGTAGTCCAAAATCCAGGCCCACTATCATCTTAGATTGGGAAGAACAAATAGCGGCGCCGCTACCACCACCCATGACTGTCTGAGTGAGACCTTGTTTGACACCAAAAACCAAGAATATGAGCTGAATCTCATCAATAACGCAAAATGAATACCTTGATCATTCTTGAGAGAGAGAAAAATGTAGGCTCCTCTTCATCGGTCTCCAGATCGCGGGTTATGCAACCTGGGAAATTGGAATGAAATAGTTCTTGTTCGAAGCAACGACAGAAACAAACCACGAGGGCCGGTGGGTAGAAACGAGTTTCACGCTCTCAACGAGTAACTTCTGACGTTTACCTCGTAGCAACGAAATCTATAAGAAAAGCCAAAGTCAAGGTACCGAGCACAAGTTAAGCCCAGAGTGAGAGTTACTTACCTGGTCTACAGATCGGTAAAGATCGAAGAGGATAGACATTTACCATTATCCGTACCTCACCACCAGTTTTTATTGACCTGACTAAACAACTCGCACGGATTTTCCTGCCAGGAAAAACGAAAATCACCCGACGAAGTTATCGCGGAACGAGATCCCGATCCCAGGAAGAGTTTGAAAAGTGTTTGAGAACTTTCCGGGACTTCGAAACATCAAACTGGTTTTGATATAACAAGAGAAAGCTAGAAAACCAAAGGGACCACTCACATGAATGACTTGGAGAGCAATCTCTCGTAAACCAAGCTCTATACACAGCGCTGCGAAGAACTCATACCCAGTCGAGATGAGCATCGCTGTCGCCATCCATGGCCTGTAAGACAAAGGATGAGTAAGAAGAAAGAAAGAAAAAAGAAAGAAAGCTTTGAGCTGTTTTAGAACGACTTGTCCTACCAGCAACAAACGCCTTGTCTTTATCATCGGTGGACGATCCGCGAGAGAATTTTGGAGCGGCACTTTACCTCGATCGGCGCCATGGTTGAAGCTAAAGGCGTGGCTCACTCGATCCTGGCGATGCGCGCTCGCATCCCACGGGCGGGTGAAGAGCGCGATGCAAAAGACCAAGCCGATGACGCCGATCGCGAGAAATATCCGGTTCTTGCGAAGGAAATCCAGGAGCTGCCTCGATTTCTCGGGAATGTGGCAGATTCCCATGGCGATCGCCTGCACAGCAAGAAAGACGGATGAAAAACCTAGGTTCTTGGCGCGATTCCAAGATCGAGACGATGCTACCTTGAATCAACGAGCACGCCGAGAATTCCCACAAATCAAGAAGAATGCCGCAGGAAACAGGATGGATTTCGAGCAAACCTCGAGCGATCGGCGCCGAAATCCGGCCAGATTTCTAGAGGATCGGCACAGCGCAGCGCATCATTACACCCTAGCGCGCTGAAATTTCGAGGAGGAGCGTGCGTCACACAATCACCGCTTCCACATTCCAGTTGCCTGTATGATCACCCAACGAATATCCTCTTTGGCCGCCAGTCTCGTGTTCGAATATGGAGATCACACTACACCAAAAGAATATCCCCTTCACACCCAAAGGATATCCTCTTTCCAGTCTGGTGTTCGAACCTGTGGACTAGCATGAAAAAGAAAAACTACATCGCTCCTATGACGATTCAAGTTCGCCAATGCAAAAATCATCGATCATCTGGAAAACTCTCGTTACATGTTGCGGTCTGTGAGGAGAAAAAAAAACGGGATTTAAACCGCAGTAAGAGTGAAAAAAACCTTTTTTACCCGAAAAATCCTTCGGTGGAATGACCACCAGCGTTGTTTAGAATGCTATCGCCTCCCGGATGCTCCTCCACGTACGAAGTCACATCGTAAACCTGCGGTAAAAAAAAATTCTCCAGATTTTACCCTCTAGAATCTCCAATGCTACCTTGTTCTTGACAATGATCCAGCAATCGTCCCTGGATTTGTGCTTGCTCACTTCGGCGAGCGTGTAAGACTTGCGTCCCTTTAGAGCGATCGAAAAACTAAATAAGAAGCAAAATACAGCCAGAGCTCACCTTTGATCCATCTGCATTGCCCAGATTTGCGCTATTCGATCGCGATTTCGCTGGAGATGGAGATTCGATGAAAGAACAAAATTAAAAACACCCGAGAGAGAAATCGCAAACCTCTTCTTGACGACAGGTAGAAGAAGACGAGCGGAAGCAGCAAGATTAGCCCGAGAGCCGGAAGCATCCCGAACTCCATCCAAGAGCCCTAATTTTAGGGACATGAAGAGCCCTAATCTTTAATCCTTTTTTTGGATAAACCAATGCTTTTATAAGTACCACTTTTTTGGGAACCTTTTTCTTACTATAATCAGAGAAGAACTTAGGGTTCTTCACTCACAGTTGAAGGAAATGAAGCCGATTTGGAGAGGCCCAGCCGAGCAATTGCAAGCCAGCTGCTGCAGGTTCCGGAGATCCATTGAAGATGTCAGCGAGAGCGCCCTAAAACAGGTGTCGCGCACAAAGTTGACGGACATGCAAGTCTCCTTTACGTACAACATGTGTAGATATCTCCGCGACGCGTCAGCCTTCGTAAGATTGGCCAGGGGTGGGATGGGCGAAAAGGCCAGATACATAATCACTTTGATAGACTCCCTGGCCATGACCTTTGCCAGCGAAAACTATGGGAACCTCTTTACGTTTCCAGAGAGCTGCCAGGAGATCCTCCATGACGCGCGCAAAGTGAAGGATGCCAAGCTCAAGAAGACGATCGAGAGCTTCGCGAGGGGCGAGCAGCGAGAGGAGGATCAGGAGCCGCTGGTGCACAGCGCTGTTCTAGCCAACGTGTTTGGAGACATCGAAAGGGTTTGTGGTGGAAAGGGCGATCCCGAGGCCCAGGAAGGCGTCTACCGCCTGTCCATCGTTTACGCCTACCTGAAACTCATTGAGAAGCAGAGCCGGGAAGAGCCAAATTTTCTCACTGACTGGCAGATTTCTCGGTTGATGTCCAACAAACCGAGCACAAATTCAAGACCTCACAAACGATCTACCATCCAATCTGTAAGCTAGAAATTTCTAAGTGAATGTGTTTATGCAGAGTTTGAATTCCTTTATGACAAATTAGAAGTCTTTATTAAATACAGATGTTTAAGGGGGTGTAGTGGTAATTCTCATTTCATTGGAAGAAAGAATTCTGGGTTCGAATCCTAGCATCCCCAACTTAATCTTTTTTGGTTTAGGCTTTTGGTAACTAAATATGTTTTATAGGGTTTCCAAAAGGTTTAAAATCATGCGAAAGCGTTTTGGCGATGGACGGCCTTCCCGACGAGCTGCTCGTCCGAATCCTGTCCCTCCTCTTCTCCTCTCGCCACTTGTATTCGTGTTCTCTGGTGAGCAAGCGGTGGGCACATCTGGTAAGGCTCGTCACGCATTTCAGCCTGGAATCCACAAGCGCCGCCGCCGAGGAGCAAGGCCTCGTCCGCTGGTTTGGCAGCAGCAACACTGGTACCAACCTCCGATCCTTGTCTTTCAGCGCTGCGCCATCACCCAAGCGCTGCTGTTCGCTTGGCTGGCTAGAGGCGATTGGCAAAAATCTCCACTCGCTTTCCATCGGCAGCTATACGCGGTTTGTGGATGGTTTCTGGAGCAGCATCGCGGCCTGCCAGAAGCTCCGCTGCCTTCACATCGACGCCATGCTCGATCCTTTGCCAGCGGAGGCGGCGCCGCCCATCCTGCCCAATCTCCGCTTGTGCTTTCTTGAGGGAGGAGTGGATGTTTTCACCCTGCAGCAGCTCCTCGCGCACTGGAAATCTCTTGTTCATTTGAAGCTGAACAACGTCGTGGTGAAATCGCCCGGCACGCATCTGCTCGAGAGCCACAGCCTCGACTCCCTGTTCCTGAGGACCAGGAAGTCCGTCCATGTCAACTTTTCTATCGCCTTGGACATGCCCAAGCTCCGCTGTATGTTCTGCAATGCGGTGCCGCGCGTGGAGCTCCTCCCGTCTACGTGCAATGTGGAGTGGATCAAGCTGCATGGGGACGTGCGGGGCATCCAGGGCCTGCGCCTGTCCAAGCTCAAGATGCTCACCATCGGCAGCACCTTTGCTAGCTCTGCCCACCTCACGCAGAGGCTCGAGCCCATTGTGAGCAGGAAGTCCAGCCTCGGCGGAATCAGGGAGCTGCATCTGTTGCTGAGTCCGGCGGTCTTGCCCCACCCTCGCTCCGTCAACCTCGCCGCACTCCTGGAGCCATTCCACGGCCTCGAGGTGCTCGAAGTCGCTCGCAGGGCGATCAAGGTATTATGGAGGATGATTTCAGTGATAGTTCTCGATCTGATATATATATCCTATGCAGCTGTTGAGCCTGGAGGAGTGGAGTGACAGGCATGCACCGTTGCGCGTCCGCATTTTCTCGCCCTACTCAACCGAGGTGGACGTCGAGAGCGCGTGGAACAGCGACGAGGTTCAGTTTGTGTGGGGGCTCATGGGCAGCAGCAGCTGTGTGACGCTGCTCGAGATACAGAGCTTGGCGGGTTGTCGGGTTCCAGAAGAGCGTCGGCCTCGGATTCCTGGAGCAATCCAGGAGGTGGCGGATGCGTTCCCGGGGCGTGTCAAGCTGCATCCATTTCGCTACCAAGTCCCGCGGATGTGCGGCCAGCTGTGGCACCTGATCAAAGCTGGAGTCTATTCGGAAGCTCTGCACACTGAGAGCGACCACCCATGTAAATGTGTTGACGTCGTGACCATGTGTGCATGATCAATCCATTTTTCCTGTGCTTATTATTATTATGATAATCTTTGCTTTTGGTTATTACACCACAAAACCCTAGCGCCCAGAGTCGATTGGAAAGCGTCGTAAAAGTTGGTAAATCCATAACAATAACATATCTTTGTTTTAAAGAACAAAATTATTGAGCTTCACATGATCATTAGAATATGATGGTAACGATATGGACAAATTAAAAATATAGTTGCTGTTGCATTGTAGCAATACTTGGTTTGTTTATATATTTTAATATTTTAATTGTAATATATCATTATATTCTAAATGTAAAATTTCAACATTTATTTTTTATTTATTTATTTATTTATTTTTAACTTTACAAGCAAAGCCCTAATATTAGTTCCATATGGGAGAGCTGGACGTTGCTCTCGAGGCAGCCATAGCAGCCTACGAGCGTGGCGATCGAGAGGGCCAGGGGCCATTTCTTGTCGCCCGGAACGTACCCTGGCAATCTTACGATGCATGGATGTGTGGCCTCGAGTGCTGCTGGCGCCTGGAATTCAAGGCCGGGGATGTGTGGATGCACGGGGATCCTTCCATCGTTCACGAGACAATCTCAAACTGGTTCAACACTATGATCATCACCCAGATCCAGTGCATCCCCGAGGTTGAGTGCGCCATCGACGTGATCTCCGCCGCCAGGGCCTCCCGCCTGGCGACGATTCGAGGCGACAAAGAGCCGGACCAGTGCTACTTCTCCTCCTCAGTCCTCGAGCCACAGCGAGCGGTGATCGAGGTGGCGTACAAGAACGAGGGGCTGGAGGCGCTCAAGAGCTCGGTGGATCTGTGGGAAGCCAGTGGCTCGCTGCTGGCGATTGGTGTCAAGATCACCCGGGAGCTCGATCTCACGTTTGTAGCCAAGGAGCGTGGCGCAGCGGCGACGACGGAGCTAAAGTTTGGGCCTGAGTTTCTGGATGAGAGTAACCAGGAAGCGTTTGTGATGGAGTTTCCATTGTCGTGCTTTACTGGGGATGTGGAGGGCGATCACCGTATCAGGTTTGATCTCTTTGGGCTGCAAAAGTATGTGATTAAGATGATCGAGTACGAGACAGTAGCCAAGGAAATGACAGTACCTGTAAAAAAAGAGTGAAACGCTGAGAAGTTCTTCTACTCCAATGTTGCCTTTCTCAAATTTAGTAAGAGATCTTTTGTTTCAGTTGCGGTGATCTGGAAATGAAACGATCATACATCAGTGACAATATACGCCCGTAGAAAGCTCACCTTGAGGAACTTAGAAACAAAACGAGCAGCAGCTACGCCACTGTGCTCAGGCATCACCGAGCCTGAAAAACTAGACATAAAAACGTTCGTCAGTCAGTGGAGAGGATTTGTGAAAGTTGCTACTTACTAAAGTTGTATATTCGCTTTTATGTACGTTAGTCCTTCCTCCTGGCTCGTTTCTTCAAAAACTCTGGAACTTCAGTCACCTTGTTCCAGCTCTTACCCCTCTCCCAATCGAAGATATCGTCTTCCACCGTCTTGTATCTCAGAGAGTCCAAGCTTTCAGCGCCACCTTCTTCACTGCTCTGATCCTGGAACCCCGTCGCGATCACGGTCACACGGATCTTTCCCTTGAAGCTCTCGTCGATCACAGCGCCAAAGATCACATTGGCATTGGGATGAGCGATGCTGTAAATCCTGTCCGCCACCACGTTCACTTCGTGGAGAGTCAAGTCGGGCCCCCCTGTGACGTTGTAGACGATTCCCATCGGCCTGTTCATCGAGCACTGGAGAAGCGGAGACATGATCGCCGCTCGGGAGACTGCCTCGGCACGATCCTTTCCGTGGCCCCCAACGCCGATGCCCAGCATCGCACTGCCAGCGTTCGACATGATCGCCTTCACGTCCGCAAAATCTACGTTGACGAGCCCGGGAACTGTGATGATGTCCGAGATGCCTTGCACACCTTGCCGGAGGATGTCGTCCGCGAGACTGAAAGCTTCCACGATGGAAGTGTTGGCACTCACCGTCTCGAGCAGCTTGTCATTTGGAACCACCACCAGAGTGTCGGACGCGTTCTTCATGGCCTCCATCCCGAGACGGGCTCCGGCTGCTCGCTTCTTCCCCTCGAAAGTGAACGGTTGTGTCACGATTCCAACCGTGAGTGCTCCCATTGCTTTGGCCAAGCGAGCAACAACTGGTCCTGCCAAAGTTAACAACGTTAGTGTCTAAGCGATGGATGGTCAAACAATCTCTAGCTCAATGCGAAGAACACTCACGAAACAATCTCTAGCTCAATGCGAAGAACTCTCACAAAACAATCTCTAGCTCAATACGAAGGACTCTCACGAGAGATAAACTCCAGAACAAACAAAGAAGAATGACTAACCTGCGCCGGAGCCAGTGCCTCCACCCATACCAGCAGCAATGAAGATAAGATCTGCGCCTTCGAGAGCCATTGAGAGCTCGGCCAGTGATTCCGTCGCTGCTTCCTCGCCAACTTCGATCTTCCCCCCAGAGCCTCTTCCAAATGTTGTCTCCTTCCCAATCTGGAGCTTGTTTGGAGCGATGCAGCG